TCCTCTCACATCTCCGATACAACAACTTCAATACATCCTCTCACATCTCTGATACAACAACTTCAATACATCCTCTCACATCTCTGATACAACAACTTCAATACATCCTCTCACATCTCTGATACAAAAACTTCAATACATCCTCTCACATCTCTGATACAACAACTTCAATACATCCTCTCACATCTGTGATACAACAACTTCAATACATCCTCTCACATCTGTGATGCAACAACTTCAAAATATCCTCTCACATCTCTGATACAACAACTTCAATACATCCTCTCACATCTCTGATACAACAAATTCAATAAATCCTCTCACATCTCTGATAAACACCTTCAATACATCCTCTCACATCTCTGATACAACAACTTCAATACATCCTCTCACATCTCTGATACAACAACTTCAATAATCCTCTCACATCTCTGATACAACAACTTCAATACATCCTATCACATCTCTGATACAACAAATTCAATACATCCTCTCACATCACTGATACAACAACTTCAATACATCCTCTCACATCTCTGATACAACAACTTCAATACATCCTCTCGCATCTCCGATACAACAACTTCAATACATCCTCTCACATCTCCGATACAACAACTTCAATACATCCTCTCACATCTCTGATACAACAACTTCAATACATCCTCTCACATCTCTGATACAACAACTTCAATACATCCTCTCACATCTCTGATACAACAACTTCAATACATCCTCTCACATCTCTGATACAACAAATTCAATACATCCTCTCACATCTCTGATACAACAACTTCAATACATCCTCTCACATCTCTGATACAACAACTTCAATACATCCTCTCACATCTCTGATACAACAAATTCAATACATCCTCTCACATCTCTGATACAACAACTTCAATACATCCTCTCACATCTCTGATACAACAACTTCAATACATCCTCTCACATCTGTGATACAACAAATTCAATACATCCTCTCACATCACTGATACAACAACTTCAATACATCCTCTCACATCTCTGATACAACAAATTCAATACATCCTCTCACATCTGTGATACAACAAATTCAATACATCCTCTCACATCTCTGTTACAACAACTTCAATACATCCTCTCACATCTGTGATACAACAAATTCAATACATCCTCTCACATCTCTGAATGTTTTACTTTCGTTTCTTTTTCAAATACGTTTAATTTAATTTTTAATTTTTTTTATTACAACTTGTCACAGCACCGCCTCCCCTTGTAACTGTACCACCTCCCCTTGTAACTGTACCACCTCCCCTTGTAACTGTACCACCTCCCCTTGTAACTGTACCACCTCCCCTTGCAACTGTACCACCTCCCCTTGCAACTGTACCACCTCCCCTTACAACTGTACCACCTCCCCTTGCAACTGTACCACCTCCCCTTGTAACTGTACCACCTCCCCTTGTAACTGTACCACCTCCCCTTGCAACTTTACCACCTCCCACTCCCCTTGCAATTGTACCACCTCCCCTTGCAACTGTACCACCTCCCCTTGTAACTGTACTACCTCCCCTTGCAACTGTATCACCTCCCCTTGTAACTGTACCACCTCCCCTTGTAACTGTACCGCCTCCCCTTGTAACTGTACCACCTCCCCTTGTAACTGTACCACCTCCCCTTGTAGCTGCACCACCTCCCCTTGTAACTGTACCACCTCCCCTTGCCACTGTACCACCTCCCCTTGCACCTGTACCACCTCCCCTTGCAACTGTACCACCTCCCCTTGCAACTGTACCACCTCCCCTTGCAACTGTACCACCTCCCCTTGTAACTGTACCACCTCCCCTTGTAACTGTACCACCTCCCCTTGTAACTGTACCACCTCCCCTTGTAACTGTACCACCTCCCCTTGTAACTGTACCACCTCCCCTTGCAACTGTACCACCTCCCCTTGTAACTGTACCACCTCCCCTTGTAATTGTATCACCCCCCTAGCAACTTTACCACCTCCCCTTGCAATTGTACCACCTCCCCTTGCAACTGTACCACCTCCCCTTGTAACTGTACTACCTCCCCTTGCAACTGTATCACCTCCCCTTGTAACTGTACCACCTCCCTTTGTAACTGTACCGCCTCCCCTTGTAACTGTACCACCTCCTCTTGTAACTGTAACACCTCCCCTTGTATCTGCACCGCCTCCCTTTGTAACTGTACCACCTCCCCTTGCAACTGTACCACCTCCCCTTGTAACTGTACCACCTCCCCTTGCAACTGTACCACCTCCCCTTGCAACCGTACCACCTCCCCTTGTAACTGTACCGCCTCCCCTTGTTACTGTATCACCTCCCCTTGTAACTGTACCACCTCCCCTTGTAACTGTATCACCTCCCCTTGTAACTGTACCACCTCCCCTTGCAACTGTATCGCCTCCCCTTGTAACTGTACCGCCTCCCCTTGTAACTGTACCACCTTCCCTTGTAGCTGTACCGCCTCCCCTTGTAACTGTACCACCTCCCCTTGCAACTGTACCCCCTCCCCTTGTAACTGTACCACCTCCCCTTGTAACTGTACCACCTCCCCTTGTAACTGTACCGCCTCCCCTTGTAACTGTACCGCCTCCCCTTGTAACTGTACCACCTCCCCTTGTAGCTGTACCGCCTCCCCTTGTAACTGTACCACCTCCCCTTGCAACTGTATCGCCTCCCCTTGTAACTGTACCACCTCCCCTTGTAACTGTACCACCTCCCCTTGTAACTGTACCGCCTCCCTTTGTAACTGTACCGCCTCGCTTTGTAACTGTATCACCTCCCCTTGCAACTGTACCACCTCCCCTTGCAACCGTACCACCTCCCTTGCAACTGTACCGCCTCCCTTTGCAACTGTACCGCCTTCCCCTTGTAACTGTACCCCCTCCTCTTGTAACCATCTCCCCTTGTAACTATGTACCACCTTCCGTTGTTACTGTAGCAACTCCACTTGTAAATGTAAGTTCTCCTCGTGTTAATTTACCACCTACCCTTGTAATTGTTATCATTTCTCCTTGTAAGGTCACCCCTTTCAGCTAAGTTTCCTAAACAATAGTCCAAAACTTTACCACATCATTGTGTACACCCCCACCCCCACCCATTTTTCACAATTTGTCCAGTAAAACCTTTCATCTGCCATTTATATATATGGGAACAATTAATCGTTCCGATGAATTGAATTTTTTTTTCCCCGTTGGTCGATTTAACACATTCACAATGTGAGATCATTGTACATTCTCTAGTTTTAACGTATCTATCACCTCAAGTCAGTATTCTCTCAAAGGAATCTATTTTATTTTTCACTACACAATGTAAAAAAAACAAACAAAAAACAAACTAATTAGTTTACTTTTTGCAATATCGTTTATTCAGCTCTCTCACTTCACATGTACAATCTCACCATCTGTCCATATTCGACCATTGTATAATATATCTCAATCTCCACCCTAAAACTAACTACCTCTCTAACTTGATCTGAATAAGCATTCCCAACATCCCGTTTACAATACCATGCAATGCTTTTATATCCACCCCTTTAACTACCCCCCGCCCCCTTTTTTGTTTGAAGCGTCTAATCGGCTCCAATTCGACCAGCCTACAATGTGACTATCTCCACCCTGTATCCCGCCTTTTGGAGTGTGTCCAGTGTCCAGCATTAATTTGCTACTTACTTGCGATCGTCTTAAAAAAAAACACAAAAACATGTATAAAATGCCAATTATCAGAGTCCAGCCGGGGCTACGACAACCGGCTAGCTCTCCTCCCCACCCCCCCCCACCCTATCATTAAAACATTTTATTTCACCTGATATAAGCTGTGTCTGTTTAATTCAAATGTTTTTTTGCATGTTTCTATTAGTCTGAACCTGAATTTCTCTTGTTTGTCTAAAAACAGACGAAACTGAAACACATGAAAGCAGAATTAAAGTCCACGGATTTATCTCAACATATTAAGCTTCAGTAGATCTCCCAGTAACCTCGAAGTCTGTCTGTCTGTCTATCTATCTATCCATCCATCCATCCATCCATCCATCCATCCATCCATCCATCCATCCATCCATCCATCCATCCATCCATCCATCCATCCATCCATCCATCCATCCATCCATCCATCCATCCATC